TATATATAGTCTTGTATAAAGGCCTTGTTTATACTGTGAAAAATGTATATTATGAATGTCTAAATATTATTTGGCAAACATTTTGTTCTGTTACTTTTTTTCCCTACTTGGCATATAACTGTATAGTATTTGTTGAAGGGCAAAGAACCACCAAAATATAAATATTGTCTGTATAACCTGTCTGTGAACATTTTTTTTGGTCTGCCCAATTTTTGTCATGAGGAGACAATTAAAAATAAACTTTGAAAGACTTCCACAAGATGGATGCAGAAAAACTTTTACAATTGCGATCACAAGTATTTATGTATATACAAAATGTAGTCTTTAGAATTTTGAAGTATTTGTATTTATTGTCTTGTTTGTGAAATAGCCTGTTATGGTAAAACCAACTTTATAGTCACAATAATTCCATACCATCATTTGTCTGGAGTGTCCGATCAGATTAAAAAACATAGTTTGCACCGTTACATCTTGATGTCAGATTAAACTGAATTTGTCCGGTTTTCTCACCCAGTGGCACTACAACCCGCCGTTTTGTTGGACACACTAAGGATGTTCTGAGCGTGGCTTTCTCTGCTGACAACCGTCAGATCGTGTCTGGATCCAGAGACAAGACCATCAAGCTGTGGAACACCCTGGGAGTCTGCAAGTACACCATCCAGGTAGGCCTCTAAATGCTCTTTATACAAGTTTAGTGCTCACTTTATGGAGAGTTTGTAAGTGGACGTAGTCTTTGACCGTCTAACATAAACGGAAAATTTCATCAGGGTTTTCTTTGGGGTCCCGGAAAATCCTAATGGTCTTAAATTCAGTCTGATTAAATTTAAGGTCATTAAGTCTTCATAAATATGGTATAACACATCTTGTCATTTTAAGAGGTCTTAAATGTGTGGACTGGAATCTCGATATGGCCTAATGTGATTGTTAAAGTTAAATGGAATCGTTGTATGTTTCAAAGTAAAAAAAAAAAAAGATCTTTAAAAACATCATATCAGCAAAATCCAATATTGATTAACCTCTACCAAGGGTTATTATAGTTGACTAAAAAAACATAATTGTTGCTTGAAATAAACATTAACTGAAAAACTTGCTTTAAAATACAAACTTATTTTAATACATCAACTCAAAATATTAAAATAGTACCTCAATGACATTAAAAGTAAACTGCCTTTAACTATTGCTATTAACTCTATTGCTCATTTTCAATGTGTATATGGAATAATAATTAAAAAAAAAACTTGGTTAGCTTTTAAATGTGTGCCTGTTTAAGTGAAAGAATCTGACATGCATTTTTTTATTTAGAGGTTGTATTGGTATGTACATGCAGTATTTAATTTGTGCATATCATAAAGAAAAAAAAAGTGTTTTAAATGTGTGCCTGTTTAAGTGAAAGAATCTGACATGCATTTTTTTTATTTAGAGGTTGTATTGGTATGTACATGCAGTATTTAATTTGTGCATATCATAAAGTCGTGGCCTAATGGTTAGAGAGTCGGACTCGTAACCCAAAGGTTGTGGGTTCGAGTCTCGTACCGGCAGGGGTTGTAGGTGGGGGGGGGGAATGTACAGCGCTCTCTCCCCCCCTCAATACCACGACTGAGGTGCGCTTGAGCAAGGCACCGAGCCCCCAACTGCTCCCCGGGCGCTGCAGCAAAAAAATGGCTGCCCACTGCTCCGGGTGTGTGTGTGTGTTAACTGCTGTGTGTGTGCGCTTTGGATGGGTAAATGCAGAGCACTAATTCTGAGTATGGGTCACCATACTTGGCCACATGTCACGTCACACTTTAAAAAAAGTCTTTAATATTAAAAATGTTTATGTAAAATGTTTAGTTTGTGCTGTTCTGAAACCCTTTATTTTGACTTGTCCACAGGATGACAGCCACACTGAATGGGTGTCCTGCGTGCGTTTCTCTCCCAACAGCAACAACCCCATCATTGTGTCCTGCGGGTGGGACAAAATGGTCAAGGTGAGACCTTTGTCTGTACCTTAATGGAAACTAGAACAGTCGCTCTGTGTTTTTGTAATAATTTTACCCTGTGATTAAACAAATCCACATTCATATTGTCTGAGCTCTTGGGCTCTGATGACAAGTCCTGCAATTATGATGGGTAACGGATTGAGACCAACAAAGTGAACAACTTAATCTGGGCAACTTGCATGGATTGCCTGTATATTTGCTAATGCAGACAGTTT